AAGGTAAACTTGAAGAGATACTACTAAAAGTGGAAAATTACATCAAACACAAACAACTAAAACAAAACTAAACATCATCTTTAACAATGCCCAGTTTTGACCATAGACCAAAACTGGACCCTTCACCAACATGGAAAGTTCTCAATTAAGTCCTTTTTTAAGGCCCTAACTGCTGAAGAGTATAAAACTCCCCAATTTCCTAGCAAGAAGATTTAGGTTTCCAACATTCCCCCTAGAGTATAAATTTTTTGTGTGGGAAGCATGCTTTTGAGAAAAGATAGTTTTTATTGCAAAAAAAGAGAGTACATGATGAAACGAACAGCAGAAATAGAGAGCAAACGAACTCCCCTCAGAAATTACAAAGAGAAATGCTGATCACTATACAAATAGTTTAAAGGTGCACCAAATTTTGCAAGGCCATCTGTTATTAAATTCAATTCCCTAGGAATCAATCAATCCACAACAGATTTGTAATCATTAGAGCAAAGAAGTCACTTGTTGCTTCAGTAAGATAATGGGCCAAACACTAAGACACACCACCCTTCTCTCTTAGCGACTTGATTGTGTTTGCAGAATCACCTCCAATGGTTAGGACTGAGATGCCCAAGTCTCTGGTTATGTGAATTCCAATGAGAACTTCCATCACCTCAGCTTTTATGAAGCCAACTATCCTAATCGGTCCACTAAATGCCCAGCAAATATTGCCCTCCCTAACCCCCATTACTCCTATTCTAACTACACACATGTTACCAGCAACACTTCCATCAAAGATTAATTTCAGCACCCACTCCAATCTAAAGGAGATGTGTCGGGGAAAATATTACTAAGAGGGGAAGTAGAACATTATACACATTTCTATGTAGTTCATTCAAAGAAATTCATTTGAAAGTCTCAGAATTAATAGCGCACAAATTACATTGGTAAAAATATGGGAAGTTAAGTCTTTAAGATATTTACCGTTATTATCAAATATCTGGCTATTGCTTTCCTCCTATTCCACCCACACCACCACATGAGCTATTATTGTTTCCCAATAGACTTTTCCTCTCCTACCAAGGCCTCAGGCCTCTCCCTTGCCATTGCAACAAAAGTCAGCAATATGTTCAAGGGAAACCCAACCACAACCAACCAAATTTAAGAAATGACACCAAACTTTCCTAGTTCCAGAGCAATGAAAGAGAAGATGCCCAGCTGATTCCCATCCTGTAAACAAACAATGCAAGTGTGAAGAGAATAAACACTTGTGACTTTATCCAAAAGAACAAAGGCAAGTTATTTATTTCTCCACTGACTTGCAGTTTATGTCTTAGTGATGGAGAATCTATGGATCACCTCGTTCTCCAAAGTTAGAAAACTAGAAAAAGTTCGCACCATTTCCTCAACCAAATTGGGTATTGTTGGGTTATTCTTGAGCTAATTACAAAACTTCTTGTGACAATGACAAGGCAAAGGACTTAGTAAAAGAGGTAATATCTTTTGGCAAACAATTAGTCATGTGCTTGTGATATGATGAGTGTGGGAACTAGGAAGAAAAAAATACCAGGTATTTGAAAATATGGCCAAATCTTAGTTGGACTTGATTTCTCACAATTACTCACAAATGCTTTTTGTGGGTTACCAAGTCAGTCTTTTGAAGAATCTCAGTTAATGAGTTGCATAGCAATGTGGTGAACTTACTCTCCCCTTGGGTCCCAAGTAACCTGGAGGAAGAGGTGATGAGTCTTAATTTTGATAGAAGTGCTTTCAGTAATCTGAGTGTTGCTGAAATTGAAGGAGAAATTAGAAGATGGGATGGTAGCATTTGTTGGGCTTGTAGTACACCACCCTTCTCTCTTAGCCACTTGATTGTATTTGCATAATCACCCCCAATCTAAAGGAAATGTCTCGGAGGCAATTATTACTAAGAGGGAAAGTAAAACACTGTACACATTTCTATGAAGTTCATTCAAATAAATTCCTCTGAAAGTCTCAAAATTAATAGCCGACAAATTACATTGGTCAAAAATATGGGAAGTTAAGTCTTTGAGAGATTGACCCTTATTATCAAATATGCAGCTATTGCTTTATTCCCATTCCCCCCACATCACCACATGAGCTATTATTGTTTCCCAATAAACTTTTCCTCTCCTACCAAAGCCTCAGGCCTCTCCCTTGCCATTGTGAGAAAAAGTCAGCAATACGTTCAAGGGAAACCCAACCACAACCAACCAAGTTTAAGAAATGATACCAAACATTCCTAGTTCCAAAGCAATGAAGGAGGAGATGCCCAGATGATTCCCATCCTAGAGACAAAGAATGCAAGTGTAAAGAGAATAAATACTTGTGACTTTATCCAAAAGAACAAAGGCAAGTTATTTCTTTCTCCACTAACTTGAAGTTTTTGTCTTAGTGATGGGGAACCTATGGATCACCTCATTCTCCATTGTCAGGAAACTAGAAAAAGTTGGCAACATTTCCTCAACCTAATTGGGCATAATTGGGTTATTCCTGAGCTAATTGCAAAACTTCTTGTGACAATGACAAGGCAAAGGACTTAGCAAAAGAGGTAATATCTTTTGGCAAACAGTTAGTCGTGTTCTTGCGATATGATGAGTGTGGGAATTGGGAAGGAAAAAAATACCAGGTATTTGAAAATATGGCCAAATCTTAGTTGGACTTGATTTCTCACATTACTCACAAGTGCTTTTTGTGGGTTACAAACTTATAGTCTTTTGAAGGTATCTCAGTTAATGAGTTGCATAGAAATGCGGTGAACTTGGCATTCTCCTATCCTATGTCCCTAACTCTCCCTTGGGTCTAAGTAACCTGGAGGAAGGGGTGAGGAATCTTAATTTTGTTAGAAGTGCTTTTGGTAATCCGAGTGTTGCTGAAATTGAAAGAGTAATTAGAAGTTGGGATGGTAGCATATGTTGGGATTTTAGTAGACCACCCTTCTCTCTTAGCCCTTCGATTGTATTTGCATAATCACCTCAAATGATGGTAAGGAATGAGATGCCCAAGTCTCTTGTTATGTGAATTCCAATGACAACTGCCCTCACCCCAGCTTTTATGGACCCAACTGTCCTAATCAATCCATTAAATGCCCAGCAAGTATTGCCCTCCCTAACCCCCATTACACCTAATGCATCTATTCCCATGTTACTATCAGCACTTCCTTCAAAGTTTAATTTCAGCACCCACTCCAATCTAAAGGAAATGTCCCGGACGCAATTATTACTAAGAGGGGAAGTAGAACACTATACACATTTCTATGTAGTTCATTCAGTGAAATTCCTCTAAAAGTCTCACAATTAATAGCCCACAAATTACATTAGTGAAAAATATGGGAAGTTAAGTCTTTGAGAGATTGACTCTTATTATCAAATATGTGGCTATTGCTTTCCTCACATTCCCCCCACATCACCGCATAAGCTATTATTGTTTCCCAATGGACTTTTCCTCTCCTACCAAGGCCTCAGGCCTCTCCCTTGCCATTGTGAGAAAAAGTCAACAATACGTTCAAGGGAAACCCAACCACAACCAACCAAGTTTAAGAAATGATACCAAACTTTCCTAGTGCCAGAGCAATGAAGGAGAAGATGCCCAGATGATTCCCATCCTAGAGACAAAGAATGCAAGTGTGAAGAGAATAAACACTTGTGACTTTATCCGAAAGAACAAAGGCAAGTTATTTCTTTCTTCACTGACTTGCAGTTTATGTCTTAGTGATGGGGAATCTATGGATCACCTCATTCTCCATTGTCAGGAAACTATAAAAAGTTGGCACCATTTCCTCAACCAAATTGGGTATTGTTGGGTTATTCTTGAGCTAATTACAAAACTTCTTGTGACAATGACAAGGCAAAGGACTTAGCAAAAGAGGTAATATCTTTTGGCAAACAATTAGTCATGTTCTTCTGATATGATGAGTGAGGGAACTGGGAAGAAAGAAATACCAGGTATTTGAAAATATGGCCAAATCTTAGTTGGACTCGATTTCTCACAATTACTCACAAATGCTTTTTGTGGGTTACCAAGTCACAGTCTTTTGAAGTATCTCAGTTAATGAGTTGCATAGAAATGTGGTGAACTTGGCATTCCCCTCTCTTATGCCCCAGACTCTCCCTTGGGTCCCAAGTAACCTGGAGGAAGAGGTGATGGGTCTTAATTTCAATAGAAGTGTTTTCGGTAATCTGAGTGTTGCTGAAATTGAAGGAGTAATTATAAATTGGGATGGAAGCATCTATTGGACTTTTAGTCGACCAATTGGGATTGCCAACTCTGCAAGGTCTGAAACCCGTTTGCTCTCACTAATGCTAGAGATTTGGCCATCTGTCGTCTAAGCATTGGAGGAAACAAAGCAAACACTATCAAATGTCCAAGTGAGGAAGAAGCTGACCCTTGGAAACCGGCACATTATCAAATTGAAACCAGGGATACTCTGAATTCTGTGGTTATAATTTTGTAATGGATTCCGAAGTAACAAAGCACAACTGCAAAGGGCCTAGCCAAATCTAGTTCTCGTTTGGAATTTCTTTATAATGATAGATCTCTTCCTATGTAGCTTTGTGGTTGTTTGTTTCTGTTTCCCTACTGTACATCATCTCATGTGTTAACTAAATATAGTTAAGTTCCTTTCAAGTTTAGAAGTTCTGCTAAACACAAGATAAATATGATAGAGACTCAAAAGGAAACTGCATTTCAGAGAGATATTTATAAGACGAATAGGTTTCCTTGTTAAGAATAAGGAGTAAAGTAAAGCACGAAGGAAAACATTAGTAGTTAGGATAAGTTAACTTCCACGCTATAAAAAAGGAAAATCTGAGAAATGTATTCAAGAAGCCAACAAAAGAAAACCACAGGATGCCCTACTGAGTCAGAAACTTCCAAAAGAGATCCCATATGTAAATTGGAAAGGCATCCATTCATTCGTTACGCAATAAATCTAAACTACTTTCAAATAAACCAGCAATTAAAAGCAATAAATTCAAAATAAAGCGCAGGAAACAAAGAAATATTACCTCGATTCTGATCACACTATCGTCCTGAAAGAAGATACTCCCACTGACGAGAAAATTGATTGAAATACAGAAAATCATATCCAATTTAAAACCCTGTCTAATCGGATATCTCGACAAGAATATGATGACGGGGAGAGAGAAAGAGAGAGAGATCGAATATCCAGGAAATGAGGAAACCAGGAACCATAGACGTAGAGAGAAATCTTGCCTCTCTTGCTGTGTTGTCTTCCCTCCCCACTTGAGAGGAGAAGAGAAGTAAGGTAAACAAAATAAATGAAAAAAAGAAGCATTCGAGTGTCATCTTGGCCTGGAATATCTTTATTGCAACCCCTCGCCCATGTTCGGCCTCGAGCCGTTGCCCAGAAAAGCTCGAATTCATCAAGAATTTAATGCATTGGCAACATTTTCTTAGCGGTGCGCGGGTAGTTATGAAATGAAGAGAAGTTCAATTCCTGGAGCTGGAGTCATGTTCGGATTTCGGAACCCATTTGATTGATTGGAATGCTCTAAATTTCTTAAATGTCGATAGAAAAACCTCCATCGAAAATAGAAACATTCCATTGGTAGGGCTGCTGGTTGCAAACGGATCGGATCGAAACGGTATAGTAAATTTGGTTTGATTCGTTTATATATCAAATCTTACTGCCGGATTACACGGGATTTGAATCGGATTTGGATTGCAAACGGACGTTGACATCCAGAGGTTGACACGTGCTATGCTCTTTGGCTCGAGTGACGGGCATAGTCTAATTTTCTGTCGTATTTTTTCCCCTTCTCCCTCTCTTCTGTTTCTTGTCTCTCAATTCATCTCTCTATCTCGATTTTCTCTCACTTTCTCTCTTTACCCTCTCCTTCACGTCTCTATCAATTCTCCTCCTCTTCTCTCTATCGATTCTCCACGTCAAATCTCTGGCTCTATCGATTCTTGTTTTTTAATGAAATACTAGCGGGGAACCCCTGCTTCGCAGGGGCTAGATAGAAAAAATGCCATCAAAAGATACAATAATAAATTAAATTATTTTTGTTAAATAAAATAACTATAACTATATTATTTATTCAAATAATAACTTAAACTTTAAATTTTGATACTATAATCTTAATAAAAATAATAGAAAATATTAATTTATTTATATCTGAGTAAGTCAAATATATTTAATTAATATTATCTTATTTATTATCTATCAAATTTACTACTTCAAACATACATATATGATAAAATTATAAAAAAATATATATATGCATATATATATAATAAAAATACACATGAAGCCCTTTTCATGTGGAATACTCATTAATAGATTTGGGCATAAAAGTGTCCATCACAATTTTTGTTTCTTAACCATTTTGGAAGGAGTACAATTACCAATATGTATAGTGTAAAGCATTGTATTTTATATTATTTTGTATATATTTATGTACATATTTGTATTTGTAATGTTTCCAAACTGAGCCTTTCTTTTTTGTCGATGTGCAACCATTATGAGTAAATTTGTTAAAGTGTCTTGGATTGGTGCTGGTTCCAGGAATTGGACCCAATTGGTCATTTTTAGGCCCTGATATAGTGTCCTAAATATAACCGGTTTGGAGCCTGTTCCACCCTATCCCAAACTAATTCAAATCCAACCCAAGCTATATACATAATAATACATATGCATATATAATGTATAATGTATAATGTATAATATATTAAATAAATTATATATAATATAATATCTCTCTCTATATATATATATGTATAATCGGGTTAAAAGGGTTCATTCCAATTGTCTCGAGAACTAGTCGGTTCGATTTTGGGTTTAAAAATTATAAACCCTATCAGGTCCTCGAGGTCATCAATATTTTATGTTGGGTCGGTAGGGCAACAAACGAATTGGATCAGATTTGGTAAGGGTATATCTGATCCGATCCATTAAGAAAACCCAACTAATCCGAATTTGAATATATTATCAGATATCTTATTCGGATATGATTCAATTAGAATTGTAATAAAAAACTTGATGATGTAATATAATATATGATATATATTTATATAAGTAATATATAGAATATACATATATAATATGTAAATAGTATATAATATACAATATTTCATAACTCTCGAATTGGGTCATGGCAGATCAGATCAATTTATATTCGAATTCGACCCATGCAGGATTGTATTTGCCCTATGTTGGCATGTTCAACATACTAAGGCCATGTTTGGGAGTGTTTATGTTAAAAATAAGTGCTTTGAATAAATGCTTAAAAACAAGTGCTTATTCGAATAAGCACTTATTTGCAATTGGTACCCAACTTTTTCAAGTGCGTATTTTAAAAAATAATCACTTATTTCATATTTTGTGTTTGGTGGTCTATTTCTCCAATAAACACTTAAATAAGCATTTTTTTACTATTTTGTCCTTCATTTTCTTTCAAATTGCACGAAAGCACTTTTATAAAAGTACTTGTATGAAAGTATTTTTACAAATGCACTTTTACAGAAGTACTTTTGTAAAAGTACATTTATAAAATTCATGTAGGGATAGTTTTATAAGTGATATTTTAAAATTCAACTAGGGACTATTTTGGAAGAAAAAAATGAATAAGTGCTTATTGTAAGCACTTAAATGAAAGTTCGAAATTTGGGCTTAAAAAATACGCCCTTATTTTTAAAATATGCACTTAAAAATAGCTTTAAAATATTTTTAAAAATACAAAAAAATAATTATAATATTAAAATTACGAATAATTTTATGTTTTTACAAAAATACATCACGAAATTATGTACTAACAATATAAATTAGGGTTTTCTGGATTATTCAATTTAAATGTTATTCAAATAATAAAAATTTGATGGTAAAAAATAAAATATTATTTAAATATTTCAAGAACTAAATATCTTAAATAACAAAATATTAAAAATAAAATGATTATATAACAAAATATTTAATATTATATGATAACTTTAATAGAAATAAAATTCAAATATCACAAATTTTAAATATTTTATATATTATTTAAATATTTTAATTAATGATATGTAATATAACTAGATTTTAAATAGTTAAAATAATGAAATTGTTTAATAAAATTTAATTTTCTTAAAAATAGAAAAAATAATTATAACATAATATTCAAATTAATAATAATTTAATATTTTACAAAATTAATAACGAAATTATGTAATCCTTCCCCACGTAAAATTTCTCCTAAACTACCTCCCCCACTATCATGAGTTCGTTTTTTGTGCACTGGACGAGTGAACCCGCGAATTAGAGTCGTCCATGTTGATCAAGAGAAGGAACACATAACATTAACGTTCCAAGTCTCGTTAGACAGGTTCGATGCGGTTCAACTGGCCGCAAAATGACAAAATGGAGATCAAAACCCCTAATAAACCTCATTTTTGGCTTTCCCTTGATGACCCGAACCAGCGGCGACGGCGAGAGCTCCGGTGGTACCTTTCTCTCTTCCTCCTCTTGTTGTTGTTGTTGTTGTTGTTGTTATTATAATAAGGGGCTTTTTGTGTCAACAGAAACCACCACACCTGAAACTGCAGCAACCACCGGTGGGAACAGGTGGACAAGAAGGTATGATCCGAAGTTTGATCTGAACAAGGTGCGACTATTTGGGCTTCTCGTTTTCTTTTTAGTATTTTGATGCTCTGATTTCTTAGAAACAAAGAAATAATCTCATACTTTTGAGCAAAAAATGTCAGTTATATCTCTCTCCTACTTGTTCAATGTATTAGACGGATAAACACGTTTTGATATTTTGATTTCTTAAAAACAAAGAAATGAGGATTGATTATGTTATCATGTTGTCTAATTCGGGATTGATTAGGTTATCATTTTTTATGCTCCCGTTATCAGTAGAAGAATTTAAAATCCTCCTAACATAACCAAAAGTTTATCAATCAATTCTTTCTCAAATCAAATAAAAAATAAAGTTTATCACCTTATTAATTAAAAATTCTCTCATGCAAGAAGTTTGAAACTTCAACTGTAAATATCTCCAGAATTTAAAATCCTCCTAACATAATCAAAAGTCTATCAATCAATTCTTTCTCAAATCAAATCAAAAATAAAGTTTATCACCTTATTAATTAAAAATTCCCTCATACAAGAAGCTTGAAACTTCAAACCGTAAATATCTCCACATTTACCTAAAAAGTTGCAGAATATATTTTTATTAGTTGAAAATATCGTATAAATATCCCCCCCTTTAACTGAATGTTTTTTTTTTAGCTAGATTGAATATTAATAACCATTTGTTGGAACAACAGAAACAGGGACTGTGAAGGAGATAAACTATAGACCCATGGGTGCACAGAACGCGGGTTTACCAAAATCAGTATTTTTCAGCAAGTAATTCCTAGTAATTAAAATTTTCAATTTACCAAAATTACAAAAAAAAATATAGTTTAGGTGTTGATGTTTAGTAAATAATATTCAATAATATCAGTAATTATCGAAAATACAAAAAATATTTTACAAATTAATTTATCCATTTTCTTGGTTTTTAGATGGTTTATAATATAGATTATATAAGAGGTGTTTTAGGATCAATTTTAAATGGAAGAGATTGTTTAAAACAAATTTTAGGAGGGGGTTGAACCGATTGGTAAAATGAGAGAGAGAGAGAGAGAGATTTGGAGTGGCAGTCTAGTGAAAGGGTAAGGGAAAAAGGGTAGAGGTTTAAGGAAATAAAAGAGATAGGGGAATGGAAGGAGAGGATTGCTGACATGGGACCTAATCACTTTATAATATAGTATAGATAGATAAGTAATATATTATTTTTTTATTGTTTTTATTAAGCTTATATTATTGAAATTTAATTTTTAAATTACTATTTGAATAACCAACTATTGTTTTCAGTATAATTGGATCTATAATTTTGTCCCAATTAATTAACCAATTTGAGACCCTAAACCAAATTGGGGCTTTTTCACTATAATTATTTATTATTCATAAACAATATAGTTATAATTGCTTTATTTAATAAAAAATAATATAATTTATTATTATATATTCCAATGGCATTTCCCCGCTAGTTGTATGTAGAAAAAAGGTAAAATAAATCGTTTTGGTTGAAAAGAGAGAGAGAGAGGGGAAAAAATAATCTCGATTCAGACAGATGATATATCTACCACACTGGCACACTGGGACAACTGATGAGACCTGTTCAACAGTTGGGTATTTCTTCTCTTGTCGCACGTATGGTAGTCCACACACATACAACTATCTCAATTCTCAATGATCGCTTTCCTTCGCCCGGAAATATCGGCACATCACTCTACGTGGAGTGGGCCCTATCTGCTTCTCTCCCGAAGGGCGAAGAAGAGGCTAACGATGAACGCCAAATTCAGTCCACCAAATAAGCCTCGCAATTTATATCGGATGATTGTTGATTTATTTGAAGTTTTGAAAATATCGACCATAAGGCATAAGATTCATTTTTTTAATAATAAGGATTAAAAAACGAAAAAAATAAAAACAAATGTGATAATATAATGGGTAAATTGCTGAAACCTCTCGTAATTGCCACCACCTATTCTCTAAACTTTTTAACAGACCCCTTCTTTTAGAATCCTCTAATATGAGGCATAAAATGTACAAGATATCCATACAGTTATTTTAATTAAAATGTTTATTTTTTAAATTTTTTCTTTATATCAATCG